GGCAATTGTGGAACAGAGGAAAAATCAACACACCCGACCGGGTAACTTCAAAACACCCGGTCGGGCGTTGTGACAAAAAAGTTTCTGGATAGCGAATAGTTAGGCCCGACCGGGCCGACCACCCAACCTGGCTGGGTGTCTGGAATTTTTTTCCCACAGAAAACCGTGTTGGCATCCTCTTCTTCCTCATTTCATTTTCTGCAAACACGATCCAACCCCGCCAAAACACCATTTTCATACTCCATACATTTGAATCTTCTCCATTTCGACACCAAATCCATCAAATAAACCCATCTCCATTTCCTCTTCACCCTCTACATTTCTATACCCACCAAAACACCCACAACCCACCAAAAATCAAAATCACCTTACTCCACAAACAACAAAAGCCGAAATTTCCTCCACCAAAAAGAAGAAATGACACCAAAAAGGGGCAAAGAGATTCATTCTCTTGGATATCTCGGACATAAGCACTAGGAACAGTGCTTTTATTAGCTTGGGGGGAGAATTTCATGGAAAACTCACATTCACACTCTATATTCTTGAGTTATTTTCAAAAAAAAAAAACTTGTTAAGTTGAAAACCTGAAAAGGCAACTTAAGCAAAAATAAAGCAAAAATAAGAGTGAGTTGTGAGGATTAAAACAGAAAAATGTGGGAAGCTGGGATGAAAACCCGAAAGGGCACCTAGGCAAAATGAGAGAATGAGAGAAAGTATTTTCTTTTATTTCTGCAGGATCCTAAGGGTAACAATGAAAAAAATGAGGTTGATAAAAAATGTGGAGTTGAAGACCCCTCTTTACTCTTATATTTTTGGGGATATTTTTTGTGTTGTTCTAAAAACACACATGGATGTTGGTGTTGATACTCTTGTCATTTTAAGGACTTCTTGGGCTAGATTTGGTTTACTCGAGACGAGTAAAGGTTCAAGTGTGGGGGTGTTTTAAATTTGACGGGCACTTTGTCACGGTGCGTCAAAATAAATTCAATACTAACACTTATACGTAGTATAGCGTAGTAGAGTTCGTATCCACGGGGAAAGGAATAATTCTCTTTTTATAAAACTAGTAAATAAAAGGGGGGTTTAGGATTGAATGATCTAATTTAATTAAAAACAAAGATGAACAACTTATATGTGATTTAATTCAAAGATAAAAAGGGACTTGGCATTGCTACTTTCCACTTGTTGATATATTTCAGTCGATCATTGTTATATCTATAACTTATCTCCTCTTGAATACTCAATCGAGGAGTATATCCAATTCATCGAGGGTAGTTATTAACAACGACCGTTCATTAATAACCCTTACTATTAGTCCAGTATAGAACAACGTCATATACCGACTTAATAGTAGCATTTAATCTCTTAACTCCTTGATGAAATCAATTGAGATTGATAACCTCAACACAACGGTTTCGGTTTAACCAACAAAATTAATCCCTCTTAAGTTTATTAACCACGACCGTGCATTAATAAACCGAAGTTACTTACTTGTGAAACCATCAACGATTAACCATCGGTTCGTTGATCGTTTCTAGTAATAATTAATATATGCAACAAAACTAGTTGATCCTTTAAGTAATGTTCAAAATATTAATATGAAATATGAATAGGGATTAATTAATACTCAAGGAAGAATATTAAAGAAGATGAATCCTACTATAGTTAATATCAAGATGTTAACTAATTGTCATCTTAGTAACACTCCTCAACATTGATATAGATATAGTATTTAAAGGAAGAATTAATATTCAAGGAAAGAAATTAAGAAAATAACTCACAACTTTAATAATCAACAAGCTTCAAGAGCAACACCAAGAAATGGAAGTTTAGCTCCTCATTTGGAGACTAAACATGCTATAAAAATATAAAAGAAATACTATTCTAAACTGAGCTTAAGAGTATGGAAGAAGGAGTGATTATTTGTGAAAGAAAAGTGTGCTATTTATAGGTGTTTTCAACACCTTGGGCCGGGTACCCGACTGGGTCAAGTGCCCACCCGACCGGGTGCATGTCAAGAGCAGATAATCTTCCACGTTCTTGTGTTTTCAGCACGTTAAAATGTCCCGAGTCACATCTGACCCGACCGGGTGAAATACCTCACCCGACCGGGTGATATAATTTCCTGAGCAGTTTCGTATTTCAAGTCTCACCCGACCGGGTGATATAATTTCCTGAGCAGTTTCGTATTTCAAGTCTCACCCGACCGGGTGTAATACCTCACCCGACCGGGTGACTGTCCTGGGCAGCCAATAATCTTCACTTCAAAGTCTTCCTTTCCAACACCATAAATCCTAACTCTATTTTACAACTTACAAATGAGAACTAAAATACAATTACAACTAAAATCACACAAATGTTTACAAACTAAATAAAATGGTAAACAATCCACACAAATCAAACATAGAAAGATACATTTATGCACTACTAATTAGTGCATATCAGGAAGTCGGGGAGCTTCAAGGGCCACTCCAGCGGCGTCACAAGGTGGGCGTGAAGGAGGGTTTTGTGTGAGAATCTCCAAATACCTCAAGGAGGCTAGGGCCTTGGGGTGTAAGTCCTTCGACGGCACCGGTGACAATACCGTCGTCGCCGATTGGATAAAGAAGGTCAAGGATGCGGCAAAGGACATTCTAATTACACCGGAAGTGAAGTTGACTGTCACTTCACGTCTACTTGAGGGGATAGCTTCCACGTGGTGGGAGAGTGTAGAAGGGAAATACCGTGGGGAGGTCTCGTGGTTAAATTTTGAGCAGGAATTTTATGACCAATACTACACGGACTATGAGAAAAATGTCAAGCGTAGGGAGTACACCAACCTTAAACAGAAGGAGGGTGGTTCTGTTAAGCAATTGGAGCAAGATTTTAGAACCTTGGCTAGGTTCTTGCCAGAGTACGCGATCAATGAGGACCGCATGTCAGAACACTTTTGGGATGCCTTACTCTTGGACATCCGTGACCGAGCTACGTACTCTCGCCACATGACGTTTAGCGAGGTGGTGGAACAGGGCCTACTTGGGGAGGCTCAATGGATGAGAGGAAGGAAAGAGATGCCGAAGAGGCGAAAAAGAGAAAGTGGCATGGTTCAGGGCCGCCCGAGCAAGCACGAAAGAATAACCACGGTGGAAGTGGTGGTTCGTTCAAGGCACCGGCACCACCGGCAAAGAAGAACAAGGATGCTCGGTGGCACTCATCCTCCTCTCAAAATACGGGGCCTCCTAAGTGTGCCAACTGTTCGAAGAATCACTTCGAGAAGTGCAACGCACCCCCGAGGTGTTTTCAATGTGGGAACACGGGCCACATGAAGGCCAATTGCCCACAATTGGGTGGAGGAGGAACCGCGACGTGAAGAAACCGTGCAGGACCGTCAAACGGCGGCACGGGAAGAGGCGGCGCATCCACAAGCCATGCCGCATCCGTCAACCAAGGTGGGACCCAAGCACGAGTCTACGACCGAGGCGGATGCACGAGCAAACCCGGACTCCGTTGCAGGTAATACACCTATTTTCCTATATTCTATGCTTATCATGATCATATGAGTCGTAGGGATCGAGTGTGGGCCACCCCGGGGACAAACCACGCGAATTCGGGGCGAAACAGGCTGAAAACGACCACGCACGATCGTGTGTACCCCTGGACGCACGACCGTGCGTACGAGGCAGTAGCCTACGGCTGATTTCGCGCAGACGCACAACCGTGCGTGCCAATACGCACGTCGTGCGTAGGACGCACGATCGTGCGTGACCAGCTACGCACGACCGTGCGTCGCCGGTAGTGGCCGATTCCGATTCTCCCACGCACGCACGACCGTGCATATCCCTTACGCACGCCGTGCGTGGACCCCCGGGAACCGAAAATTTATTTTTTCACTCCGTTCTTCTACGTTTGGACCCCCGTTTGATTCCCAACAATAGTATGAACCTAATAACCTCCTAAAAGTGTGTAAAAACATTAGAAAAGGGTATCTTACATGGTGTATAAATGTAGGAACATTAAATATCAATGGTAGGTGTGCGAGAATCCTCATCGATACCGAGGCACAACGCTCATTTGTGAGTGAGGCGTTCGCCGAGAGTCTTGACGTGCCATTGTCGCCTATGACGCAAACATTGCTAGTCTCCGCACCGTTATTTATTTGGAATAAGATTGTTTTAGTCTGATTTGAGGAACTTTCCCGCGTTTTTTCTAATATCACATTCAAAGTAATATCAACCACAAACACTATTTTTTACACCTATTGACGACTTAGTTCGGAACTAGCTAATTTGATTTTAACACATAAGAACCATAATATGACAAGCTTATAGCCGTTTATTGGATTTGATTAGGGATGGACTCGGGCCGGGCCAACCGGCCCGGAACCGGACCGGCCCGGTGAACCGGTTCGGGCCCGGTTCGGGCCTCCCAGCCCAGTGGTAAAGCGGTCCGGGCCCGGGCCTCCAGTTTAGTGAACCAGCCCGACCAGGCCCGGTTCGGGCTGGAATTTAATTTTTTTTTTTTGGAAATTTTTTTTAGTTTTGGGTTGGATTAGGTATTTTGGGCCATTTGAGGTGGTTTGGGGTGGTTTGGGGTGGAGAGGGAGGGGTAGGGGGTTAAATAAGAGAAGAAGAAAAAAATTAAAAATCCGAGTGGCCCGGCCCGGAACCGCCCACCACCGGTTCGGGCTCGGGCCTCATTTTTCTGAACCGAGGCCCGGCCGGGCCCAAGCCCGAACCGGAACCAGTCCATCCCTAGATTTGATAAGAAACTATTTCTTCACTTTCGGTCAACATTCTTATCACATTTCTTACTGCATTGCTGAAATTACTATAGATGACCACTTTGACTATTTTCATATTTTTTTAATTGATTAATAAAATATGTTTTAAATATATTTTTTTATAATTCAAACATATTTTCATCAATTTCAACAAATTCAATAAATTCACCTTGTTGAATTGCTTTAGATAGTTAAATATAATTTTTCATAATTCAAACATATTTTCATCAATTTCAACAGATTCAACCAATGCACCTTTTTTATTTGACTTAGATAGTTAAATATAATTTTTCAAAATTCAAACATATTTGCATTGATTTTAACAAATTCAACCAATTCACCTTGTTGAATTGACTTAAATTATGTGTCCACACTTGAAAGAGAAGGAAGCTAATGATGAATTGACTTGGATAGCTAGATTAGTAGTTTCTAAAATCTTTGTACAAAAAATGTTGGACCAGTGACACAGCGTCAAACCCATCCCCTTCAACAACCAGCAAGCTCCCGCTTTATAGTATGCTAATAAGAAGTGCAAATGTATAACTCACCATCCAAGTAACCTGAGACGAAATAATAGAGACGGAAGTAAGAACTACGGAATGCACTTGCACAGAACGAAAACTGGGAGATGTAGAGTAAATGAAAAATTGCAATTTACTCCAACAATTGTTAGACATTTATGTAATTTGGGAGATGCCCCTCAGATTTAAAATTTAATCCCTCAATAGTGATAAACTGATAATGAGACACAATTAGCCCCCTGGGTTAAATCATTTTTTGTATTAAGGTTGTATTGTAGGTGCATTCTTGATAAAACAGAATGCCCCCTCCCCAAGCCCAAATTTTAACCATATAAATGGTGGTTTTAAAGGAGTAGACTAACTGTATCTTCTCAGTTATACGGACTAAAAAGGGGCTGATTTTACAGAAGATTAGAACGGACATCAAACAATCGAATTGAGGGACTAAATCTGCAATTTTCCCTTTCATAGGCGGGGAATTTATATTGAAGAGCTTACCCAATCGGCACCAGAAAGGAATTCCAAAAGTGACGACGAGCATACAAGTTGAGTTCTCTCTGCTTCATCAAGGAAATCGACCATCAATATCTTACATTGCTTGGCCTCGTCAATTTACATATGGCCAGCCTGTAGTGAAATTACTGATCTGCAGATAATTTAAGTACGCATCTATAAAATTATATTCATATTTTCAAAAACTGCCCAATGTTATCCATAGATTTCCTACGTAGAATCAAAATAATCAATATTTGGGTATGGTCTGGGTCTTGCAGAACGGCGTTTGCGAGGAAATGCGAAAGGGCTGCCCGGTCCTTCTCTGCGCGTCTTATTGGATTTATTATCATTCACTGAAACTGTATTAAAGATGAAATATGTATTAGTTTCATTTCAGTGAGACAGTATCTTCAAATTTATCTATTGCATGCAATATTACCTTTTCTATGAAACATAGGAACCCACTAGAAAAAGTAAATACTCCGTAATATATTAAAAACAATATTTGTATGATCAAATCACCATAGATCCAGCAAGACAGACAACTTAAGGCACAATATCCCCATCATAGCTCTATTCTGAAAGACTGAGCACTTGGCTAATCAGCTACCCTGACTCAAGAGTATGATGAATGTTACTAATAATTCTAAAAGGAAACTCATCCATAATATTCTAGCCAGTTACTAATAATCCTAACACAAACCATTGCATGAACAAAAAATTAGCTACTAAGTTCTGACCCTCGTACCAGTGTTTTTCAAAAAAATGGTGAAATCGCGATATAAATGGTAAAAAATGTACAACTTTACTATTCTATAGTAACACTACGTATATCAATTTGAATTGCAGAGAAAATTGTAAACCCATAAACTAAACAAAATCATAATAGAATTGTATAAAATTCTGGACAAAATCATAGTGATCATTTTTAATGAAATTGTATTGATATATAACTCCAATAGTATAAAGCGCAATATGAAATTGGTTTTACTATTATTTTTTTATAATCATTAATACTTCATCCCAAATAGATTTTCAATTTGTGATCCAGTACGTTGATAGAGAGCAGCAGCTCGACTTGAAGGAAGAGAGGCCAATACCCCTGTTGGTTTACTGCAGACGGGGACAGGCTTGAGCCCACCTTTGTGGGCTGGCTGTGGGCCGTTTACTAATTTTATTTTTTATAATTTTTCTGTTGTGTTTCCTATTTGGAGTTAATTAGAATTGTTTAGCATTTAGAGTTGATTAGGATTTCTATTCTTTGATTATTAGAACGCCTGATTTTATCTCATCAATCAACACAATATCACCGGCAAAACATCATGCATCAAAGTATATCTTCTTGAATTGACTTTGTGAGTTCATCCATGACTATAACAAATAATAAAGTACTCAGAGTCGATCATTGGTGCACTCTAATAATAATGGGAAACTCTGTAGTCCTCTTTACATTAGTAAGGACACTTGTAAATTGTAATACAATCCTCATAGTCTCATACATTATACATATCCATGAGGTATCCTATTATACACTTTTCTTTTTCTAGGTCAATAAACACCAAATGCAGCTCCTTGTTTGTGTCTATATACTTCTCAACAAGTTGACTAAGAAGGTGAAAGACCAACTTCTTGTATAAAAAAAGACAGCCCACTGAACGAAGGTATCCCTGCAAGGTCAAGGGAAGGGTTCCACCACATGGGTGTACAAGAAGGAAGCCTTCTCTTACCAAATTTGACAAGAAGGCTCCCCAAGACTTGAACCTGTGCCTCTCCATCACACAGCAACACCTAAACCGATGCACCAAGACTCCCTTCTTGTAACCATAAGCTACCATATTAATGCATGTATTCTTTCATGCTTAAATGCTTTATTGGTTCTGATGCTTTAAAATGTCCTTTTGTAGTTTGATTTTCATCTCAAACACATCAAATGTGCCATTGATTCGGTTTGCAATGTTGGCTCACAAATGTCATCCGCATTATATACCTGGTGTTATCGCAGTGCCGCCTAGGCACTGACTAGGCATTCAGGCAATGAAGGAGAAACACCATGCTTAGTCAACTCGCCTGAAGCCTCCTAGGCGTTCTGTGGCGACAACTAATCATTTACTATGGCTACGCCAGATTAAGTTTTTCATTTGCCAACCCAAATCAAAAATACACAACGTTTAGTCATTTAAGCCGTCGCAGCTTGACCCACAGGTCACTAACGCAGGTCCTTGCTCCGCCGTTATCTAATCTCGAGAAGCCTGGCTTCATTTTTTTTTCTTTGTTGCCAAGTCCAACCTTAGTTCTTTCCTTTGTGTCGCTAAGCCATAAGCCCATAAGCGCTCTTCTTTTATCATTGTTTTGTATGTCAATTAGTTGAATCCAGCTGGACTACATATTTCCGTGTTTGATTCTTTACTTACTGTTTTAACATCCTTGTGAAAATTATTACTACATAAATAATTTGCAGTTTAAATTTCTATTTTTCTGGACACTAATTATATTTGATAATTTGAGATGTATGTTAAACACTTGTTTATAATTATTAAATTTTCGATTGAATAAATTAAAGATGTAAAAATAGATTTTAAGTTATACTATTTTTTATATTTAATATGTTACATAATGGTGCGAATTGTTGCCTAGGCCTGTGCCTTAATGCCTAGGCAATATGGCAGTTGGCTGGCGTCGTGTCTTACCTAGCCATCATGACAACCATGCATACTTGTCACGGCGTCACCTAGGCGTTCTGGCGCTAGAGAGTGCTCGCTGGGTTCCCACCCCTTGCCGGAAGAAGTGTAGGCGAGCATGGCGTCATCCAGGCATCATGCAGGCAAGATTTTGGCGACAAATAGTCACCTATTTTTGGCCAATGTAAAAGCAATCCGCAGGCCCAAAAATGTAGTAGATTTAGGTTTTATTTTTTTTAGGAAACTGATTTAATTAAGGCTTTTAGGATTTTGATTAAAAAGGAAGACCAAAGCAATCTTACGGGATATTTGTTGCCATCATGGTCTAACTCAAGTAGCAGAGTTGTAGAGAACAACTCGCAGGAAGCATACGAACCATAGAACTCCAGGAAGCAGAAGAAATCGCCGATCTCGCGCTCCCTTCGTGTGAGTTGGTGACTTAGTCCCTCACGGAAGCAGATGACCAACCATTACGTTCCAAATCCCGATCTCTTCTCGTCTAGTGGAGTAGTGGATTGAGTTTTTTAATATTTTAATTAATTAAGTTTTATAGTTTATACGGAGTATATATCAATATATGTGTATGGATACAGATATGAGATATGCATGCTCTGAGCCTGTGACGCATACTGATTAGGGAGTCAGAGTATATACATTTTTACAGTATTATGATATGTTATAAATAATAAACTATGGAGTATTAAACTATTAAAAACTATAAAATAAATTACATCTACAAAAATATGATCTACGTAGTACATACTTTACGTAGTTTAACTATTATGTACGGTCATACTTATTAATCATTATACAATTATTACTAATTATACAATGTTTACAGATTTAATATTAGTTAGGAATATATTCTATATAATATACCATATAATTATATACTACTACGTACGTAGTAGTATATAATACTACCTCCATCCCAAAAAAGTGAAAAACTTGCCATTTTCAAAATTTTGACCAACTATATCTTTTTATAGGAAATTATTTATAAAATAAAAATTATATGAAAATGTTTTTTCTTAAAAGTACTTTCATAAAAGTGTAAAAATTATAACTTCCATAAAATATTATGCTAATCAAAATCATGGTTCAAATTTTTCGAAATGGCGAAGTTTTTTGGGATGGGGGTAGTATATTATACAATTATAAAATGTGTGACTAGTCGCCTAGGCGGGCGCCTTATCGCCTAACGCCCTGTTTGGATTGAGTGTTAGGAGGTGTTAGTAAAGGAAGTGTTTAGGAGTGTTGATGTTAACTAGTGTTTGGATGTGAAATTTAAAAAAAAAAAGGTGTTAGTAAGTGTTAGAAAGTGTTACGGAGGGTCAGAATTCACCTTCGCAACACCTCTATTGCTCACATTTTTAACACCCCAATTTACATGAAAAAATAAAACCCGACTTTCTTTCTATTGTTGTGCTCATCGATCAAGTGCATCAGCTGTTCCCTTCTCATGTGCAGCAGGCGGTCTCTCATCTGTCCCACTTCATTACTCCCTCATACAAGATTGCTATATTTGACAACCCATCCGCCTATTTTTCTGTTCAATACTCTAGTTATTCACTTACTCCACTACAATTCTGAATTTAGTTTTTCTGTTCTCACTTAGTTATTTATTATTGGGAAATTTTGAAAGGTGTATTATATATTTATTAGCATATGAGAAATATTCAACTTCTTACTATAATTTCAGTATTAAAAAACCTATTAAATTGTGTAAATGTAAAAGTTGGAATTTTACTTATTCCATTAAATGGAAGAGGCCGGCTACTTATGAAGCGACAAAACCAAAGTGGGCGAAGAGAATGGCCCTACAAATTGGACTTGGTAACTTTTACCGAAGGAAGAAGAAGATTAATGTCACCGCTAGCATACACATAATTAATTCAAAAAGTATAAGAATATTTATTTTTGTCAATTTATAAAAAACACTTCCTTTATTAACAATCCATTTTTATGCTCTCCGAAACAAGGTTAGTTTATGTCTTACAGTTACACTTACCTTCCCTTCCGGGCCCATGCCAACCCTTACTAACACTTTCTATACAAACACCTTCCAACACTCCATCCAAACAGGCCGTAAGTGATATGGCGGTCGGCTGGCGCCGCGACATGACTTACCACCGTGACAACTATGCAAGTATGCAACCATGTATATCCCTCAAATGAGGTGGAAACCTTTTAAGAGCCTGGGCATTAAAACAAAATGAATTTAAAGATGAAGGCAAAAATAGAAAATGCCTTAGTGGAGAACATAATTCAAATTCCCTCGCATAAATATTTTTGAGCCTAAACCTAAGGGTGTGCATTGGATTAAGATCTAAGAGAAATTTTTAAGATTTAAAAGACACTATGAAAAGGTGTTTAGAAAACGATCAACAGGCTACAGGTCCATAGCAGTGTATATATCACAGAGGCAAGGGGTGCAAAAGGTACACACACCGGCAATCTGCAGACATAGCACTATAGCAGTGCCAGTCAATGGAAAAAACGAATTTTTAGAAAATTACAATTTACTGACCTGAATTTAACCCGTTAGCACCTGTGGAATCAGATGTAGCCCCAATATCTCCTCCACTCCCAAGGGAAAGCGAGAACCAATCCTCACTTGGAGCACATGTTGTGGCATCAAGTGGTTGATCTCTCATATTAGGGTCTGCCATGGATGATGTATCTGATGGTATATTCGGAATAAACATCTGAAGAGAGGGATCAACATCACCGAATGAAAAGGGATTATTAACAACCAAGCTACTGTTTATATTGGCATTAGCATAAACAACAGAGGATTCAGTTACAGCACCAACTGATCCCATATCTGTGGGAAACCCACAGCCACTAATGGGGTTATGCTGGACATCTGCATTTGAATTAAATATCTGAAAGCCCGGAACTAGCCTCTGGATATTGTGGGGCGAAGGCCATGTTTCTATACCAAATTCATTGTTACTGTCAATAGTAGTTGTAGTAGTAGTATTCAATATACCAATCTGTGAATCAGGAAAAGTAGGGCGGTCTTCATTACCATAAGAATCTGGAATCCCATTCTTTTGAAAAGAATAAGTAGGGACTTCATTTCCAGGAATCATTAACAGTTCATTTTCCTCATCTGAATCGCTCAAGACGATAAGTTCACCATTTCCCAGTTGTACAGGTTCATTCTCAACCCCACTGTAATCCTGATTTACACTGACATCATCACATCCTTCTTTGCCAATTACAGTGTCACTACTGCTGCTCATGGCAATGATTTCCTCAGGCTTACTAATTTGCCAAACGCCATTGGGGTTTTTCTTCAGCCCAACTCTGAGGTTTCCATGGCCATTAGAACAACCATCCTGACACTTGAGAATTTCTGGGTTTGGCTTATCAGATTCTGCATCTGAAGATGTGCAGAGATTTCCATTAGGTAAGTGCCACTGTACAAGATCACCTAGACTGCCTAAATCACCTCCTGCCTTGACCCTCCAAGAACCATCATGCTTCACTTCTATTTCCATCACATTCTCTGCACAATTCTTCAGCTGTGGGCCAAGCAGAAATTTTAAAAAAAAAATCATTACTCCCTAAGTCCCATAACAAGTCCAAATTGCTTTTTGTATGAATTTTATATGGGGTTACTTTTAGTATTTTGCCCTAAAAAGTTAGATGCTGTAAAACGTTGTGAAAATATATTAACATGTCAAAACAATAAATGAGGGACAAATTGAAAAGGAAAGTGACACAAAATCGGACAGGAGTATAGGGTAAAAGCTGGAAACAGGCCCTAGTAAGATCTGAGGAAGTATACCTTAGAAGTGATTCGATTGAGATAGGGATCAATAATTATATGCTCTAGGGAGTAATTCTTCAGACAAATGGGACATTGCCACTGAAGCACATGTACAATAATAATAAAAAAATAAAAGTTCATTAGATAAAGAAGGATAGAATCCACTCATGATAACAGAACTCCAAAACGCACTATACTGGTGTAGCCGTGCAGAAACTGCTTACCTTTCTAGACCTTCGGTTTATTTCCACAAAAACTTCAAGATCAAAACAGCCCTTGTGAGTACAGGGCTGAAATCGCCCAGCAACCTTGATCCTCGAACCACTCATCTGGATCAATGCATACTAAAATATTACTAGCTCCGTCCCACTAACATTGGGACATGAGGAGGCGACACGGTTATTAAGAAAAGTGGGTTTATGCGGTTGACATTGAATTGATAAAGTATACTAAAAAGAATGTACTAAAGGATTTAGGAATGAAACCAATGAATAAAGAATAGCACCACTACACCTCCTATGTTTAACAGATAAATATGCAAATTAATTACTCAAGAACATCATTACGACATATAATGTGTCGCCACTTTTCGAGATGTCTAGTGCATAATATGATTTCATTTGTCCAATGGATGGAAGACTCTATCAGTTGGTGGTACTTTTTAACTAAACCCATATATCCCATCATGAAATATTTACTTACAGGGCACCGAAGATTCACAGAAATGAAGTCATCAACTATTTGAAGATCACTGTCACTGTCAGCATTTTCTGCAACATCACCACCACCAACACGACAAGCTCTAGCAAGTGCATCTTCAAATCTCTCACCATCGGACTCCTTGGGAATACAATTGAGTATCTAAAGGATAGATCGAAACATTGGATCAGACAAAAACTATGGAATCCAACACCGATTTTCAAGTTTCAAATAGATGCAGAGTAAGTTATTTGACAATACAACAACAACAAGAACATCCAAGCCTTAGCCCCAAAAGATTTTGGGTCAGCTAAAATGATTGGATACACGAACATCCAAGCCCTATTCTCAAGAGTATGTGGCGGCTATGACAGGAATCGACAAAGTGTTGGAGTTAAAAGGGAAAATCAAGGGACATAACAGATCTAAATAAAAGTATACACATCCATACATGCAGGAACAGGAAGACTTTCCTTCATTAAAATAGTGCAGCGCAAGCTCCAGTTAAGCTTCTTAAAAATATTAAATTGACAAAAGAGGCTCTTTCTACAAGAACCAAAATACCTGTTGCACAGTCCGCTTCTTCACTACTCTGACACCAAAACAAAACACACGGGCATCAATTCCCGCCATAGATATTTTGTTTATCCCTTCCCGAATGCATGTTGTTATCTAGAGAGAGACAAAAAAGATCAAATGTAATCAAATGTAAGTTGGGACTGAAAATAGCAATTCAATTGAAATTGGCAAAACCATGAAGAGGAGCATGGACAAATGAACTAAAGCAAGTAAAAGTAAAAGTATACTTATAATGGGTCATACCAATAATTCCAGTAAAGGGTAAATAAATGAATGGAGGAAATGAAAAGGCATAAGATGCTCTTATGATTTAAATTTTAAAATACAAAAAATGGGCATAAGAATAAAGGTGTCTAGCGCCAACACTCACAATAGGTCCATCATCTCGACCATTAGCCCCTAACAACTGTGACCCTGGCCTGTTTATCACGCGTACAGGGACCCCTGGAGATGAAGCACAAGTAAATCTATAATAGATTGATATCTCAGTAAAGATTGAAACAATTTAATAGCAACCAGTTGTAGAGGGGATAAGAAATCAGGATAAACGTGTAATGCATTATATAATGAATCTTGACCAAATTTGATTAGCATATACACTTATACAGGAGTACATAAGACAGCATGATTAGCAAATGTCAAAGTACAGAGAAGTGGTTTTGGCATATGTTAGTCATTTGAATTTTGAAGACCACTGGATCCTACAGAAGCATGACGCATAACCAAAAGGTTTTCTCAAACAGCAGCAGCTTTAAAAGTAACTACTTCACCCAATACAAATTATATGTTCCTTAAGCAAAAAGATAATTGTAAGTAATCTGATAAGCTTCTCTTACAAGTTATATAGTTTCCTCATGTCAGAAAACTGAAATAGTTTGAAAATTCTTAGAGAACGAATCTATTCCTGGGAATACCATTGAGCTGCAGAGATGTATGCAGAGGCCAATGCATCCTAAACTGCACCTTATCATTGAGAAGCATGCACCAAGCCTGAAATAACCATCACAATTAGTAACACACATATAAGCTTGAGTGTGAACACATCTTAAGAAAAGTAGGCAAACCTGAATATCATACTCCTGTTTTTCCACTAAATCAGTCTCTGCTCTAGTAAGTTGAAACGTTTTCTCAATACTCTGTACAGGACTTGTTCTGAAATTCACAGGCATAACATTGGAATTACAAGTAAATGCTACCCAAAAAAGATATGGATAAACAAGAATTGAAAGAATGATACCAGATGAATAAATATTAGTATTGTGCATTAATAGGAAATACAATCTTTATGACAGACGCTAAAATCAAGAGACGGTGGTAAAAATGTATCACAATGTCAATACAACATGAGTTCACTACAACACTATCCTTAGATTTCTTTCCAGTACAAATCTATCCCCTCCTGGAAACCCTCAGCCTGAAGGAGTGGGAACAACTGGACAAGATATTCAATTACACCTCACATGCAATATTTTCCAATTGAGGAAACTTACTCTTTTAGTGTAAAAAGATATTGCAAGTATTTAGGTTCAAGTCATACTGTTGCAATTATTAAAGGATGGAGGAAGTATAAATTTCATAAGTCAGGTTCAATGTTTTGTATCAAGTTTGGTGCATATCATGGTTTTTAGTAGTATTACGGTTTCCTATTCTCGTTATATTTAAGGTTTAGATTTCCTAGCCCTATTAGGTTTAGGCCAATTCTCTATATTGGCATGAGTTTTTGCCACTTCTAGTCCCCCGACTATTGTGCCAGTGACACTTTGGTTACTCGACTTTTAACTTTTCCCATTTTGATCCTTCGACAATTGTGCGAAAGACACTTTTGGTCCTCTACTTCAAAGTTCCCCACATTTAATCCCCTGAGTATCAAATTGACACTTTAAATCCTTCAACAATGATTTTGCCACAATAAGTGGAAGACTAAAAATGTCATTATAATAATAGTTGAAGGACCAAAAGTGTCACTTTTACGAAAGACGAAGGACTTAAATATGGAAATTTTCAAAGATGGGTACCAAAAGTGTCTTTCACACTAGTCTGAAGGACTAAATGTGGAAAATTCAGAGTCGAGTACCAAAAGTATCAGTGACATAAAAGTCGAAGGTCTAAAAGTGACAAAAACTCATATAGGCACTATAATAGTCTTTAGAAATTGCGAATTGTAAATGAAAATCATCAATAAAAGTAGTATCTTATCATTCAACATGTTAGAGATCTAAAAAGAAAGGTCCATCCAGGCAAAGTATGTGTTTGTATAGAAGCTATTTGATAAATGGATTGACGGCGCAAAAAAATGACATTACGGCATTGGACCCATGGTGCGTCATAAGAATGTTAAAGATGGAGATTCTGTGGATGACCACAGAACATTACTCCCTGCCCCACTATTTTTATCCCAGCTTTCCTTTGTCCACTCCCTAAATCTGTCTCATATCACATTTGGTAACATCTGTGTGGTTCAAACTCATCCACACATCACAAAATTCAATATTTACCACATAATTCCACTTAATATGTATCATTCTCTCACTACCAAAGATATTGAGATGCAGGTAGTATATTTTGATTCATGTACCCATCTTCACTGATTTGGAATTATGGATTTGTTATATTAGTTCATGAAACATCTATCTGTAGAATAACTTGTACGAATCCAACCTTTATTCACACGGTTTAGAAAGAATTATATTTGATTTGTTACATATATGTGAACTTTTCAATGCAATTTGGGGATTCTAAAAGGTTAAAATTAGATGACATTACCGATAGTGACACATTGTATTAATACATTGGTTTAGTGAAAAAATACCCCACTTAATAATGCAGACAGATAACTGTATGTCCTAATGTCCGTATGATATACACATTTTAATATCAGGTCCAATCCACAAATGCAAGTTTGAAGCATATCCATGAAAAGAATAAGCAAGCAAGACACAGCCCCCAACGGCCCTAATTGTACATAACATTTAGAAATGTATCACCGCAGTTAATGATCATAATAACTAGAATATTTTGACCAAATATGAGAGAATGGGGAAAGAGGGGAACAACACCAACTAGAACAAACCTAGAAACCATCTTATTTGGAAGGTGAGTAGGCAATAACAATAATGCAAACTGAAAGTAGCCTTTTATATGATTAATAAGTAAACAATAAAGAACCATAGATCAACTAAGTAGATGGACCATCATCTTGAAGTAACTAGGGATGGAGATGGGTTGAGAGCGATACGGTACCCAAAATTGCCTGACTCTAATTTTGAGTGCATTGGTTAAATGACTTAAGTACTTAGCCTAGGTAGCACAGAAATGCAAAACGGGAAGCACAAAACATGAGAATCGGTATTTTAACAAAATTATCACAGGAAACATAGAGAGAATGTGTAACTATAAAAACATAGGGATGATTGGATGAATTTAGAAGTATATTTTCATATACAAGTTTTCCAACACATTGTTTTCATGTATGAGTATACATTTTTTAAATAGCTTTGCTAATACCCAAAAATAAAAATAGTTAATATTTTCTAATTCTAATAAAGAAATTATAGACATACTACTATACTAGTACATAATAATGAAATGCGAAATGCAATACATTTTCAGCTGCGCATTGCATAATGAAATATCAGAAAGGATGTGATGCAATAAAAAATCGCATATGAAATCCACTACAAAATTTCAAACCACAAGCACAAGTTTTAACATAAAAAACCACCAGGAAGGTAAAATTGGAAACTCGAAATTTCTGAAACACAAGATATTTAGGAAAATGCATTTTCCAATACTTTTAATTACCACAACAGCACAGGCACAGGAATTCAAAGTTTCTAGGTTTTCGACGTGCTACTAAGTTTCTGTGCTTCTTAGATGTTAACTGGTGATATGGTTGTGAGGGGTTTAGGGGCATCCGGGCATTGCGGTAACTGGTTACCAAACCGGGTAACAGTTAATGAATGAATAATAACCTCAAAAATAGATAAACTACAGTACAGTGAACCTTAAAAATAAATATAGCAAGCTAACAAACCTCATTTAGCCTATTTTATGCAAATATTAGGTTTAAAATAAAGTATGTGGCAAATGGGATAGATCAGAACAACAAAACGGAGCCGGGGAGTGGGTTTGTGTACTTCTAGGTTTTTCGGAAATAGGACGGTGAGGGTTTGAGATAAAGAATCCAAATTAACAACTTTGGGATGAGAAATGAAAAACGGGTAGGGTATCCTGCTCATTGCCATCCCTATAAGTAGGTAATCCTCTCATCCAAAAGAACAATACTGCAGAAAAGAGTGTGTACATATAAAAGGAAAAAACATACACCACAACAACATCCAAGCTTTATTCCCAAAAGAGTTCTTGATCAGCTAACATGAATCAACATATGATATCGGGGTTAAAATTAGGAGATTTCCAGTGGATATCAGATATTTACCCATCAGGTGGGATGTCTGTAATGGTCAGCTTCACTGGAAGTAAAGGGTTTGACACCGATTCCCAGAAGCTGCAAAAAGAATATTAGGTATAGAATTTAAAATCATTTAACTCAAGAAGTCATAAAAGAGAGTAATCCTTGAAGAGCACTCAGATACCAAGTATTGGAACAGATTGTTATTTGTGGAACAGATTGTTATTTGTGGAACTGATTCTTCACACAAGCAGATTTTACAACACTTGGAACATCCGGGTCAAAACTTCCGCCTCTTATAAAAGGCTTGTTTGAAATTCTTTTCGCTTAGTTCATAATAAATTATCTGAGGCTAAAGAAAAGAGAACATGGTGTCACTTACGGGTCAAGACGACTCAATCTACACAGTTCACAATAGAAAGTTTTGTGCGGTGTTGTTGGAATACCACTCTCAACATCTTTCTCTGGGATGACAACGCACCTAATATGTTGCCGCACATGGCATTTGGGATCTTCACACTACAGGTGACATAGAGCATCTAGATGAAAGAATATACCTCAAACGCATGGCCTATATAAGGGAATGTACATGTATATGGTACCTTAATCATCGATTCCGTCTGCACGGTGTTTCCACATGGACATTGAATCCTATACGTCTTGTTATAGTCTTCTATTTCATCGTTTAACTTCACAGTGCTACCATGTGAGAATCCTAGTGGTTTTGATGCAGGTGTTCCATAAACATGCATTTTTCTGGGAGTAGATGGAGAAGATCATTTTTCAAATGCATGGAAATACAAATAATAGCATAACCATAAATGATTCACTGGATCAGAGCATCTGTCACCTATATGCCGTTCAAAGAAGGGTAGAAATAGAAATACATCATCCAATTAGATCCTAACTCTAATTCCAGGACAATAATTCTTCAATTTATATACATGCATATGTGTGTGGGTATCTTGGAATCAACATTCTTGGAACTTCAAAATAAACATGATAGAATAACAAATACTACAAGTTTAATCATTGGAATAACATTGCAAAGGTTTAGCACATAAGCATTTAAAAAAAGAACCACATGCAAACTGCAAGAAAATAGCACACCAGGTCCAAAACTGCAAAATAAATGATCTTAACCTTTATGAGATTATTTACAATTCGCGAAAAAGCTAGCTGATACTAATAAGTTTCGCAAACAGTTATTTTATACAGTGAAGAGCAAAATCAAATACAAGTGGCAAAATATTTATTAAAAAACAGCAAAGAATATTAAATTGGTCTTTCCTGTACAAAAGTGCAAATATGAAAGAGTAAGAGACCAATGTTGATTGATAGTGCAAACCAGCTTTCAGTAATTTCCTTCAGTAAGAGACCAATGTTGTAGAGGAGTGGATTTGAAGGTAAATGTTTCACGCTCCCCCTTTCATTTAGAGTGCTGGTGAAGGAATATTATAGTTGGAAATGGAAATGGCCAAATGGGTCAGGGCCAAGGTTGTCACAGTAGCTACGCGAGGCGCAGCGCAGAGATGACAGCCTGGGCGGCGATTAGGTGACAAGTACCAATGTGCAATACTGCAATGTTTTAGTGTAAAAAAGATATCTTATTTTAAAATTTTAAAATATTGTAAAAATATACTACCTCCCAAAAATTACCAAATATGGTACGGGACAAACTTAATGGGACAAGAGGGTGTGCAAAACTTTTAGGAAAAAGTGAAATTGTGTGGTGGGTATTGAATTGATAAAGTGGGGAAAAAGTAAGAATGAATTGTAAGCACCCAAACATTACCAAATATGGTACGGGACAAACTTAATGGGATGGACGAAAAAGGTAAAAACGGGACAAAGTTAGGGGGCGGAGGGAGTAATATTTTTATGATATAAATTTTTAATACATTAAGAAATGAGATGTATTTGAAGTAGAGTAGGTAAACAGTGTAAAAGTCAAAGTGTTGCAACTTTTAAAGAATGACAGAGGTAATTAAATATAATATAAAAGATAGTGCATGAATTACGAAGGGGGTGTTTTCATGTACACATACATGTCTTTACGTGTGCATAGAGTTGGATACATATACCTAAGGGGGTGTTTGGATATGTGTATACATACATGAATTACTAAGGGGTTGTTTGGATATGCGTATACATACATGTCTTTACGTGTTTTGTTAGATACAAATGTGTGTGTCAGTGTGTGTGCTTGCATATGTGTATATGCGTTAAGTACATATGTGTATCTGTGTTTTAACTTTTTATCCCCATAGAGGTTTACAACATTTCACAACCTTCAGCTTGCATGTCCACTTTGTCTTCAGCTCTTCGCCTCACTCAGCCCAAAATTGTAAAAAGGGTACTTGTTAATTACTCCGTATATCCTTTATATGAAACTGATAAATCCATATTAAAACGTTAATGATGCTTTTATTTTTTAAAAGGATATAACAACAGAGAACAGGTATGATCTAACAAAACTGAATTTCGTTTAAACAATATGTATAAAGTTTAATAAAGAAAAATTGCAAGCCATAGAGCCAATCTGATAGAACCCAGTACCGCAATTTAGAATTGCAAGCAAATATCAAACATGTAAAGAACATAACTCAACGGAAAATTTTCAACTTTACGAGCTTTATCTTTATTCTCCTTTTTATCTCAGCTATGATGTTCTCAAGTCTAAAAGTAGACATTAATGTGCAAATATACCTGTAAATGTCATCCACAATATTTACCACCTTTTCCTTTGCAATAACAGTTTTCTTCGCACACATTCCTAAATATTATCCGGGACAATTATGTTAGCAAAGAGAAGATAAGTCACTTGGTTCACCACTGTCATATAAGTTTGAATGTGGAAATGCACAAAAAGAAAGTATTTTCATTGACAACTTACCCTGGTCATCATAGAAGATGGCCAATATTCGATCAAAGAGAACCTACAAGACAAAAGTTGACATGATTATTTCTAAACATGAGTTGCCTTACTGGCAATATGCAATAGGTGGAGGAGGGCAGCCAAGCGTCTAAGCAAGAAAATAGTGCAGCATAAGGTTAGAACCTGTTCTAGCAATGTTAGAAGCTTAGTACAATTGTATTAATGATAAACAATATTACAAATCACAAAAGGTCTCTGTGGAAAATGTAGTTGGTAACTTGGTGATTGTTCTTTGCCGCAGTTTGCCCCAAAAGTTATCGGAGCATAAACTTCAAAAAAAAAAAAAAAAATAGCAAGGAGAGTGCGCTACAAAAAGGGCTCCAATTGAAATCATCGTCAATAATGGGTTTTAGTGAAGAATTGCTAATATAAAAGTATAAAACACTGAGATGAAAGATAATATAATCAGTTTGTTGAATGAGACTGGCAGCCCTGAATCCAAGAAAATAATAGAAAATGAAAAATTGAGTGAGGGCAAGTTTCCTTCTATTATACCTTCTTAGTCCCTTGCTTTGGAAGACCAAGTTTAGTGAGGGCATCCTTTAGTTCCTTTATACGAAACTTTGCCAACTTGTCCTACAAGAGATATTTGACACAAAAAAAATGCAACTTTCATGGTTGAAACTACAATTGAGAAAACTAAAAAAGTAATCGATAAAAGTGAAAACCCATCATACCAAGAGAGAGATATCAATTAAGTCAGAGCACACACCCATGGTTTGAATTCTTAATACAAAATGTTCAACCTCAAGTGTTGCACAAAGAAGATAAAGAAGAAAGAAGCAATTGAAAAGGCATTGGAAAAGATGGTGCGGTTTGAATTCTCAATACAAAATGTTTGACCTCAAGTATTGCACAAAGAAGATAAACATGATAGATGCAATTGAAAAGGCATCAGAAAAGAAGGTCGTGAAACTCTATTGCAAAATGGGAACGATACAAACTGTCTTCATTTTTAAGACAATTTGCAAGCCCAGCCATAATGAAGTAAAAAGAACTTTCTTAAGTATCTATTCTTCCAAGGGAAGAGGCAAATTATGTGAAAATTATGTGATTCATACCTCTTTTACAGAAGTGGAAAATATAATAGCATTCATATTATGAATAAATTTGTTTCCATGAGCATATGCAACATTAACATTGTCACGTCCTGCAGAGGTGATGGGTTTAATGGATAGAATGGGAGGGAATGGGTAGATTTTAAATTTTCCATGTTTGGATATATTATGTGTGGAGAGATTCCAATGCGAACTTGTTTGGTTTAGAAGGGGAGGGGAGAAAAGTAATACAGAGTGATAAATACACTTTCTTGTGCATTTATGTTTACAAGTAGAGGGAAAATTGTAATCAAATAGGTAAAGCGATTATAATATGTTTTTACAAATGTATTTAATTTGCCATTAATATATGTCATATTGATATGAATAATTTAAATTTAATATAAAAAACGAGCAATTATAAATTATTATTTATTCAGAACTAATAGAAGAGATGTTGACATGTGCAGAGTGACCAAGAAAATAACAATATGTTTTTAACGCAAGTAAAGTAATTTAGTCTCAGTTAGATACCAATATACCATCTCTCCCAACTAAACCCCTTGAATATTGGAGCGGACATTATGAGATAAGTGAAAGGGATAAGTTTATTCAAAAAAGCCTGCCTTCTTCAAAAATATTGTTTTCTTTCCAACAAAGGGAGTCCCCTCCACACCCCTCAAACTCAACATATAATAAAGCATACTATGCTAAGTGATGCTGTAATCCAACCTAAATTGTTTCTGTTTTGCTACACGTTAAGCGCCATTATACGGCTGGGGGTCAAAATCATAAATATACAATGATTTTAAAACCCATGCCGCAATTAACAAAAACATCAATAACAATAATATAGACTGCTCCAAAAGAGTAAGATGCTCAACCGTATCTGATTACCTTGAGGTCGCCTAATGAATCCATGTTTAACACCTCACTGATGACTACTGGATGGTGTTCTCACTGTTCTGCAGCTTGAAAAAGTAAATGGCCAATAACAAGTCAATTCCTTTACAAATTACTCTCTCCATCCCTTATAAATTTCCCAAATTTACTCTTTTGGTTGTCCCAATAACTTTACCACTTTTTCTTACCCTTTTAAGTAATGAGTTTGTGATTTTTATTATTTATATCTCCATTGAACAAACCTCTTTATTATTGCCAGTCAACTTTCAACTTTGTCAAGGTTATAAGGGACAGAATGAGTATAACTGATTCAATAAAAGTCGAATTCAATCAACTTAAAATGAGAAACAAAACAAAATTGGGTAAAATAAATAAAATACCGCAAACTTTGCATAGGTGTGCTACCCCTACCCTAAACTTGTCAACATTGTAAAAATATCTCCTACTTTGTAAAATTGAGATGTTTATGCCCCATATCCTACCAAATCATCTGAGAAAGCACACATTTTTTTTTTGGAAATCATGCATCTTTTTTTGCCAACTAAATCTAATTAACATATTCCAATTTGAGAAATATTATTTGTTAATTAAAATATGGTACAAAAAATAAAGTTGGGGGTATTTTTTAAACTAGTACAAGTTCGTATTTGTTAATTAAAACTGGGAAGCTCACACCAAGGCAAAGTTCGGAGTATATTATTTATTTTTCCCAACAAAATTCGTATGAAATTCCCAAATATACATACACACATATATGTAATTACGTATATGCGCATAGAAATATGATGCTAAGACTTACAAAGAATGGGAAACAGATGGATGTGTTGTTTGGACCGTAATCGGCAAGTTTGAGCGAATTGAGGCTGTTTCTTCCTGGTTACCGCAATGCCTCAGTCTCAGCGTTCGCGTCCTACTGTGTGAGTGCTCTAGTCTGATAATCTGGGACTAACGTAACCGGGTTTTGAAACGTCCGCTCTTTCCTTCTGTTTTCCACACCAGTTGTTTATCTACGCCAATGCGCTTGTTGGCGGCAGCTGGAAGCAGGACTCTTTCTTTATGCCATAAAGGTGTTTTGATCAGAATGTTTGAGAATTTAGGAGTATGTGGCATTGGAAAAGCTTTTTTTTTAATGATTAAAATAGATTATTATCGTATTTCTGGCATTTTAAAAAGTAATGACAATTTTAAAATTGTGTGGTGTGGACAGCGAATCAGGTAGCTTATTGTATCGCTAGAGCGGTAGTTTCTATGTCTGGTAGTGAAGTTAGTTTTTCTTCTCCTCCTAACTTCATTGTAAGCCATTTGGCGAATGATCTTTTACTATAGTGGGGTGTTTTTTCTTCAAAAAAAACAAGGCCTTTTTATTCCAATATTACTAAAATGAATGAAAAAGATTAAAAAGTGACATGTTTTAAATTTTTCTAAAAATGTGACTAAAAGTCATTAATTCCTTATTTTTAATCATATATTTATTATTTTAAAATTCCTTTTATACATTTGAGTACTAGTCCATATTTTGTAGCCACCAGCACCTCCGGACCGCCACTGCCGCTGTCACCGCCGCCGTCACCACCACTGCCGCCGTCACCACCACTGCCGCCGTCACCGCCGCCGTCACCACCACTGCCGCCGTCACCGCCGCCGTCACCGCCGCCGTCACCGCCGCCGCCGCCGCGGGCGCCGCCGCCGTCTGTCACTATCTCAGTGACTCCGGCCAAAGTGACTCTCCGGCCAAAGTGACTCCGGTCAAAGTGACTCCGACCACAATGACTCGGACCACAGTGACTCCGCCACAGTGATTCCGTCGTCAGTGACTACCATTGCAGTGACTACCCTGCCCTAGTGCCACCGCCTACCACCACCGCAGACCACCGCTGCCGACCACCCCATCCCTCAGTCACCAACCCAGCCGCCTCTGTCCACCATTCCCCCCTCCGCATCTTCCCCTGCCACCCCTCCATTGACCTCCGCCCCACTACCACTTTCGGTGACTACAGCCACAACCGTCATGTGCCCCCCCCCCACCACCATAGCTTCCCTAGCCACATCTCGACCCCCCTCCCCATCCTCGTCCCCGATCCACCCCTCCACATCTTCGAACAGACCAACCCATCCAATCTCCAGCCCCATTCCAGCCAGATCTAGCCCCGACCAGCGTGTCTACAACCGATCTACCGCCCCTACACTCCGCGCGCAGCTCCTGCACCAGCGTGATGAAATCGACGCTGCCTCAAAGCCCCCAATCGCCACCCTAGCCGCCTCTCGTTAGCCCGGCCGCGCCGCTGCATCGAATCCCTAGCCAGAGTGCCACATCAATCGCGAACTCAGGGATAGATGTGGCGTCACTAGTGCGGACTGTTTGCAGGTGGCATCTCGTCGGCGGCGGATTCCTAGAAGGAGCAGATCGGGAGAAGAGAGCAAGGAAGAGGCCAAGGCGGAACTTAGGAGGCGGAGAATGAAGAGGGAAGGTAGATCCGAAGGCAGCGTGCGTGAAGGTAAATCGAAGAAAGGTAAGGTCGGGTAACTTTTTTGGAAATTTTGAAAAGACTCATATTTTTTTAAATCAAAAGCCAATTAGTTATATTCAGGCCATTTTTTCAAAAAACAATCGTATTTATGGCACTGATTCAAATTTAAATTGTTTTTTCAATTCATTTTTTGAGTATTTGTCGAGAAGTATTAGAGAATCTTCCGGCCATAGGGATAGTTTGAATGAGACTTCTTTTAATTTTAAATCATATTAATGCAGATTGAAAATTAAACCTGAAATAATGGGTCACAAAGGCACAAACAAGATTTAAATACGGAGTAATAATTACAAAATTATAATATGCTTTTAAATATCATGATGTATATATGTATATCTATGTTTGGGTTTTATTAATATTATAAATGTTTTTAGAATATTATAATATACCTCATACAGTATTTTTTATGAAAGCAAAATTTTAATTTCTGACATAACAACTTCAAGCTGCTCATTGGACTACTCAGCCCACACTTATGGGCAAGTACAGATATTTTATTTGGCTCACTTATTTCGTGTAAGGTGAAGCCCGCCCACACTCATGGGCAACAAAATATTCAACGGGTTAATCATATTTTTGTACAAGTCTATTAAAATCATGGATGTTTTAGAAAGAGGAATGTTCATGTCAGGCCGGCCTGACGGGCTGCTCCGTCCGGCCGAGCCCGTTTGGGCACCTTCCCGATGGAATTTTTTGATGAAATTTTTTGAGCATGTTCCTCATCAAGTCTAGTTTGTCCATACCAAATTTCAGCTCAAAATTCGATCGGGAAGGCATTCAAATCATTTTTTGAAGTTGACTACAGTTTTATATGTATATTTTGACGCAGTCAACTTCAAAAAATGATTTGAATGCCTTCCCGATCGAATTTTGAGCTGAAATTTGGTATGGACAAACTAGACTTGATGGGGAACATGCTCAAAAAATTTCATCAAAAAATTCTACCGGGAAGGTGCCTAAATGGGCTCGGCCGGACGGAGCATCCCGTCAGGCCGGCCTGATGAGAAGAGCACTCATATATATACTAACACTTATATTACTCATGATCTTTTCAGTTCCAAAAATATATGACCTATTTTATTTTTTCCGCAATACTAACTATCACATTTATAGTTAATGAATAAATGAATTTAATTAACAACATTTTATCGTCCTCTTTCATTTCACTCGCTAAATTTTATTATACACCATTTTATTGACCACAAAGAGTCTAATTTGTTGAAGTGCAGTCTAGTCTATTTAAGTTCGGTCTGCTATGTTATGGACTAAAAACAGTCCAAGTAATAACATCCTTAGATATCAAATTAAAATTACATTTATTTTTTTCATAGAGACACGTGTAAAACACTCACAAATCACAAATATGATTCTCGAAGACCTTTTTTACCCAAAGACCATACCGGAAATCAATTCAAACCGGTTTGGATTGCTCCAAGACAGGACCGAACCAGTTTCAGTTTTTAAAAAGGCTAAGAAAGCCGTCCAAAACTGACCCAAGAACCAACCCCAATTCTTTTTCTTACTCACAAACATGAGGTCAATCATACCTGCATATGCATGCACCTGTAAGGGTAAAAGTGACAGTGGGTATCAAAAGTGGCATCCAAAGTAATACTAGTATGTTTTTATCATTTCTCAAAAGCTTTTACAACTATTTGTTTGGAAAAGAATCATTATATACAAGCAAGATAATAATGATAAGAAAACGTCCATTTCAATAAATTACAAGTCACAACAACCAGTTTTATGCTCCATGATGATAAAGCTTCTGACTATGAAGCATATATAAATTGACTAGTGATCAATATGAAGAAACCTCTAAAAATCAGCTTCTCCTGATGATTATTTTTGAAGGGAACAGTTGTTCCAAGTCACCCATGTCTTTTTCTTTTCTTTCTGCGCTTCTTATAAAGAGGTTGGAGAAGTAGAAGGGCACACAGAAGCAAACTTGCAACTCCTGCATTTCCAGCGCTCCTCCATTGGAGTAAAACTAGCTTCACGATCTCCTCTCCAAAATTCTAAACAAGACTTTATTTGACCATTGACCCAATCTGAATCATGTTCAAACTCATCTTCACCTAGCAATGATTCATCCTCTTGCAATTCGTACCTTGAAATATAATCGATCATCATATGGTAAAACCATAAAACAGATGTTTTTCAAACTGCTACTTGAATGACGTTAGCTATGGACTAAAAAAGACACCACTACTAACCTCAACAAAAGACGGTTATGTGCTTGTGGAAGCATAGAACAAGTATTCCGAAAATACCCCATCACTTCACTGAGGGTCTGTAAGGAGGGAGAAAGAGATAAAGAACACACATTGAGATGGTGACCTAAGGTAACAGTCAGATCAGCGTAATAATGGAACATGATGTTATGTTTTATGTGTAAATTACATTACTCGTGTAGTTGATTACATTCAATCCCATTATGGCTTACCAAATGCTGCCTTATTTCTTACAAGTGATTCTGTTTATTTACCTCTGCTGGAAAACCTGATCCGGATGTACTTGCTCGGATTTCATCAGATAAAATACAGTTGGGATTCAATGAAAAGAAATCAAAGAACTGGCCGATAGGAAATTTATCAGCAACTAAGTTGTCCCAAATCTGCTTGTAGCACATCAGTTGAAGCCTGTACACCATATGCGAAGTTTCAGTTCATCAGTCAGTTTTCATGAGAGAGATCATATTTTAACACAACCAACACTAATTCTAGTATCTAAAACAAGAAGGATTAATATCTTCCTAATAACTTTCAGTTGAAAGGAATATTATAGATATGCTTTATATTACAACAACATCCAAGCCTTATTCTCAAAAAATTTTGGGGTCGGCTAACATGAATCGATCCATGAAAGTATGATGAAAAGTATAGAAACAGATACCCTTAAGGCATCAGTTATTTGGCTGAACCAATGTCATGATGAAGAAATGTTTTGAAATATCCCTTTCAGTGAAACAGATCATTTAGTGCCCATTTGTTAACATTTTTTTCCTTATCTACCCTATCTATTTCCAGATACTAATTATTTACCAAATACTAATGTTTTTACTACGCGTTGAAGTGTGTCATAATGAAAACAAGTAAGACTGCCGATACTTTTCTTGCTAAATTTTTCTTAAGGAGACACTTTCAACTTTAATCCATACATTATTTTATTAAAATATATTTTAAAAGTATAATTTTGTCATATTTCAGCAAATTCAGCCGCTTCAGACATTAATTCAGCCATTTCGAGCAACTTTATCCAATTCAACCAATTTTAGTGTTACCAAACGGATTCTAAAAGCTACTTATTATGATTATAAGTAGGATGAACAGAATAAGCCAGTCATCGCTACCTAGACCTAGTTTTAGGTTTAGGGCCATTTTTTCCTTACAAAAACACTGTAATACTACGGTCTTTAGAAATTATGACTTTTATGAGGTTAGATTAAAAGGTTAGATTGTAAAAGTCTCAATAAAAAGTTAGTTTTGTTTCTCATATTTAGCAAGACGCTTCTAAATATTCATGAGATTGTATACCTTCCATTCCTTCGTTGTGCTTCGGAAGGAAGAGTAGGACGAAA